TGGGGCATCCCACTTGTCTATGGGGCATCCCGCTTGCCTATGGGGCACCCCACACATCTATGGGGCATCACACTTGCCTATGGGGCACCCCACATATCTATGGGGCATCACACTTGTCTATGGGGCACAACACATGTCTATGGGGCACCCCATATATCTATGGGGCACAACACATGTCTATGGGGCATCACACTTGTCTATGGGGCACCCCACTTGTCTATGGGGCAGCTAAGTGCCCCATGGGAAGGCATCAAAGCAGTTTGGGGGGGGGGAAGAGATGCTCTATGGGGCACCCCACACATCTATGGGGCACACCACTTGTCTATGGGGCTGCTGAGTGACCCATAGGATGGCATCAAAGCAGTTTGGGGGGGGGGGAAGGGATGCTCTATGGGGCACCCCACATATCTATGGGGCACGCCACTTGTCTATGGGGCACCCCACATATCTATGGGGCACCCCACATACCTATGGGGCACACCACTTGTCTATGGGGCTCCTGAGTGACCCATGGGAAGGCATCAAAGCAGTTTCGGGGGGGGGGGGGGGAAGAAATGCTCTATGGGGCACCCCACACATCTATGGGGCACGCCACTTGTCTATGGGGCACCCCACACATCTATGGGGCAGCTGAGCTCTAGGGGGAGGAAGCCCCACACACCCCACCCCCCTGCCAGGAGCAGCCCATGGGGCAGCTGGGAGATGCTGGGGAGGGTCTATGGGGCACGGCGTGCAGCCAGGGGTGGGCTATGGGGCACATGTGGGGCAGCCATAGGGCAGCTATGGGGCAGCCGTGGGGCAGCCATGGGGCAGCCAGAAGGAAGCTATGACACAGTCATAGTGAAGCTATAGGGCAGCTATAGGGCAGCCATAGGGAGGCATAGGGCAACCATAGGGCAGCCATAGGGCACCTATAGGGCAGCTATAGGGCAGCTATGGGGCAGCCATAGGGCAGCTATAGGGCAGCCATAGGGCAGCTATAGGGCAGCCATAGGGCACCTATAGGGCAGCTATAGGGCAGCCATAGGGCAGCCATAGGGCACCTATAGGGCAGCTATAGGGCAGCTATGGGGCAGCCATAGGGCAGCTATAGGGCATGCATAAGGCAGCCATAGGGTACGCATAGAGCAGCTGTAGGGCAGCCATGGGGCTGCTATAGTGCAGCCATAGGGCAACTATAGGGCAGCCATGGGGCAACTATAGGGCAGCTATAGGGCAGCTATGGGGCAGCCATAGGGCAGCTATAGGGCAGCCATAGGGCATGCATAAGGCACCCATAGGGTACGCATAGAGCAGCTGTAGGGCAGCCATGGGGCTGCTATAGTGCAGCCATAGGGCAGCTATAGGGCAGCCATGGGGCAACTATAGGGCAGCCATGGGGCCACTATGGGGCAGCCATGGGGCAGCCACGGGGCAGCTATGGGACAGCCATGGGGCCACTATGGGGCTGCTATGGGGCAGTTATGGGGCAGCCATGGAACAGCTATGGGGCAGCCGTGGGGCAGCCATGGAACCGCTATGGGGCAGCCATGGAGCCGCTATGGGGCAGTTATGGGGCAGGCATGGGGCCGCTATGGGGCAGTTATGGAGCCGCTATGGGGCATTTATTGGGCAGCCATGGAACCGCTATGGGGCAGCCGTGGGGCAGCCATGGGGCCACTATGGAGCAGCAATGGGGCTGCTATGGAGCAGTTATGGGGCAGTTATGGGGCAGGCATGGGGCAGCAATGGGGCAGCAATGGAACTGCTATGGGGCATCTGTGGGGCTGCCATGGAACCGCTATGGGGCAGCCATGGAGCGGCTATGGAGCAGTTATGGGGCAGCCATGGAACCGCTATGGGGCAGTTATGGGGCAGCCATGGGGCCGCTATGGGGCAGTTATGGGGCAGCAATGGAACCACTATGGGGCCGCTATGGGGCAGCTGTGGGGCAGCAATGGAACCGCTCTGGGGCAGGTGTGGGGCAGTTATGGGGCAGCCATGGAACCGCTCTGGGGCAGTTATAGCGGCTGCTATGGGGCAGCTGTGGGGCAGCAATGGAACCGCTATGGGGCAGGTGTGGGGCAGTTATGGGGCAGCTGCGGAACCGCTCTGGGGCAGCTGTGGAACTGCTCTGGGGCAGTTATGGAGCAGTTATGGGGCAGCCATGGAACCGCTATGGGGCAGGTGTGGAACCGCTTTGGGGCAGTTATGGGGCTGCTATGGGGCAGCAATGGAACTGCTCTGGGGCAGTTATGGGGCAGTTATGGAGCAGTTATGGGGCAGGTGTGGCGCCGCTCTGGGGCAGTTATGGAGCAGTTATGGGGCAGCCATGGAACCGCTCTGGGGCAGTTATGGGGCTGCTATAGGGCAGCCATGGAACCGCTATGGGGCAGTTATGGAGCAGTTATGGGGCAGCCATGGAACCGCTATGGGGCAGTTATGGAGCAGTTATGGGGCAGCCATGGAACCACTATGGGGCAGGTGTGGAACCGCTCTGGGGCAGTTATGGGGCTGCTATGGGGCAGCAATGGAACTGCTCTGGGGCAGCTATGGGGCCGCTATGGGGCAGCAATGGAACCGCTATGGGGCTGCTATGGGGCAGGTGTGGGGCCGCTATGGGGCACGTGTGGGGCTGCTATGGGGCTGCTGTGGGGCAGTTATGGAGCAGTTATGGGGCCGCTATTGGGCACGTGTGGGGCAGTTATGGGGCAGCTATGGAACTGGTATGGGGCACCTATGGGGCAGTTATGGGGCAGTTATGGGGCAGGTGTGGAGCTGCTATGGGGCAGCTATGGGGCCACTATGGGGCAGCAATGGAACCGCTATGGGGCTGCTATGGGGCAGGTGTGGGGCCGCTATGGGGCAGGTGTGGAACCGCTATGGGGCTGCTGTGGGGCTGCTATGGGGCAGCTGTGAGGCAGTTATGGGGCAGCCATGGAACCGCTATGGGGCAGCTATGGGGCAGTTATGGGGCAGCTATGGGGCAGCTATGGGGCAGTTATGGGGCAGTTATGGGGCAGCTATGCGGTCGCTATGGAGCAGTTATGGGGCTGCTATGGAGCAGCTATGGGGCCGCTATGGGGCAGCCATGGAACCGCTCTGGGGCAGTTATGGGGCCGCTATGGTGCAGGTGTGGGGCCGCTATGGGGCAGCAATGGGGCAGCAATGGAGGCGCTATGGGGCAGCAATGGAGGCGCTATGGGGCAGTTATGGGGCAGGTGTGGGGCAGCTATGGGGCAGCACTGGAGGTGCTATGGGGCAACTATGGGGCAGGTATGGGGCAGCAATGGAGGCGCTATGGGGCAGGTGTGGGGCAGCACTGGAGGCGCTATGGGTCCGGCGTGGGTCACTCACGGGCACGCTGAAGTGGACGCCATCGTAGCGATAAACCTTGTGTGGGGCGCGGCGCAGGGCCGGGTCCACCAGGAGCTTGTAACTGCGCCAGGGGGGGCCCTGCCCCCGAGGCTCAGCCCCCGCCTCCGCTTCCATCCTCGGGCATCGGCGCTGCGGGGGGCGGAGCCTCAGGAACTGACCCATGGGAACCCATAGGGACCCATGGAGAGACCATAGGGACCCATAGGGAACCATAGAGACCTCATAGAGACCCATAGAGACCCATAGAGACACATAGGGACCCATAGAGACCCCATAGAGACCCCATAGAGACCCATAGAGACCCATAGAGACCCCATAGAGACCCCATAGAGACCCATAGAGACCCATAGAGACCCCATAGAGACCCATAGAGACCCATAGAGACCCATAGGGACCCATAGAGACCCCATAGAGACCCATAGAGACCCCATAGAGACCCATAGAGACCCATAGAGACCCCATAGAGACCCCATAGAGACCCATAGAGACCCATAGAGAGACATAGAGACCCATAGAGACCCCATAGAGACCCCATAGGGAGACGTAGAGACCCATAGAGACCCATAGAGACCCATAGAGAGACCATAGGGACCCATAGAGACCCCATAGAGACCCATAGAGACCCATAGAGACCCATAGGGAACCATAGGGACCCATAGAGACCCCATAGAGACCCATAGAGACCCATAGAGACCCATAGAGACCCATAGAGACTCCATAGAGACCCATAGAGACCCATAGAGACCCATAGAGACCCATAGAGACCCATAGGGAACCATAGAGACCCATAGAGACCCATAGAGACCCATAGGGAACCATAGAGACCCATAGAGACCCATAGAGACCCATAGGGAACCATAGAGACCCATAGGGACCCATAGAGAGACATAGAGACCCATAGAGAGACCATAGAGACCCCATAGAGACCCATAGAGACCCATAGAGACCCATAGAGACCCATAGAGACCCATAGAGACCCATAGAGACTATAGGGACCCATAGAGACTATAGGGACCCATAGAGACCCATAGAGAGACCATAGGGACCCATAGAGAGACATTGGGACCCATAGAGACACATAGAGACCCCATAGAGACCCCATAGAGACCCCATAGAGACCCATAGAGACCCCATAGAGACCCATAGGGACCCCACAGAGACCCATAGAGAGACCATAGGGACCCATAGAGAGACCATAGGGACCCATAGGGAGCCATAGAGACATAGAGACCCATAGAGACCCCATAGAGACCCCATAGAGACCCCATAGAGACCCATAGAGACCCATAGAGACCCCATAGAGACCCATAGAGAGACCCATAGAGACCCATAGAGACCCCATAGAGACCCCACAGAGACCCCACAGAGACCCCACAGGGACCTATAGAGACCCAAGGGGACCCCATAGGCCCATAGACAGCCCCACAGACACCCCATAGAGACCCATAGGGAACCATAGGGACACATAGGGACCCATAGAGTGACCATAGTGACCCACAGAGAACCCCTGGAGACCCCACAGGCACCCATAGACACCCCATAGAGACCCACAGAGACCCATAGAGACCCATAGAGACCCATAGAGACCCCATAGAGGCCCCATAGAGACCCATAGACACCCCATAGAGCCCCCATAGACACCCACAGTTACTCCCTCACCTCCACAATCACCCCATAGCCCCCCCCCCATAGGCCTATAGACCCTCAGAGACCCCCCCCAGAACCCCACAGACACCCCCAGCGCCCCATACGTGCCCCATAGGCCCACACATCCCCTCAGCCCCATAGGCACCCCATAGCCCCCTACAAACCCCTATAGGCACCCCATAGAGCCCCAGAGACACCCCATAGAGCCCCACAGGCCCCCATAGGCACCCCATAGATACCCATAGAGCCCCATAGCCCCCCACAGACACCCCATAGATCCCTATAGAGCCCCGTAGGCCCCCCTAGAGCCCCATAGACTCCCATAGCGACCCCATAGAGCCCCACAGGCTCCCATAGAGCCCCATAGATCCCCATAGAGCACCACAGACCAACATAAACGCCCCATAGGCCCCATAGAGCCCCATAGAACCCCACAGCTCCCCATAGACACCCCACAGAGCCCCATAGAGCCCCACAGGCCCCCATAGAGCCCCATAGACATCCCATAGATCCCCATAGAGCCCCACAGGCACTCATAGAGCACCATTGACCCCATAGCTCCCCATAGACACCCCACAGACCCCATAGCCGCCCACAGACCCCCATAGACCCCCATAGACACCCCATAGAGCCCCACAGGCCCCACAGACACCCCACAGAGCCCCATAGACACCCCGTAGAGCCCCAGAGATCTCCACAGACACCCCATAGACACCCATAGAGCACCACAGGCCCCATAGAGCCCCACAGAACCCCACAGATGCCCCATAGCCCCCCACAGACCCCTAAAGGCCCCCATAGACCCCCATAGCTCCCCATAGAGCCCCATAGACACCCCATAGCTCCCCATAGACACCGATAGACACCCATAGACCCCACAGAGCCCCATAGACACCCCATAGAGCCCCACAGACCCCTATAGACCCCCATAGGACCCATAGAGCCCCAGAGACACCCCACAGGCCCCCATAGCTCCCCACAGACACCCGATAGAGCCCCACAGGCCCCACAGAACCCCATAGACACCCATAGAGCCCCATAGGTCCCCATAGAGCCCCACAGAGCCGCACAGAACCCCATAGACACCCATAGAGCCCCATAGCTCCCCATAGAGCCCCACAGAGCCCCACAGACACCCATAGTCACCCACAGGCACCATAGAGCCCCATAGCTCCCCATAGCTCACCACAGAGCCCCATAGACACCCCATAGACACCCACATACACCCATAGACACCCCATAGCTCCCCATAGAGCCCCACAGAGCCCCATAGATCCCCATAGAGCACCACAGACCAACATAGACACCCCATAGCTCCCCACAGAGCCCCATAGACACCCCATAGACCCCATAGCTCCCCATAGAGCCCCACAGGCCCCATAGAGCCCCATAGACCCCATAGGCCCCAAACCCCCCCCCCTCCTCCTCCTCACCGGCCGCTCTCGCCGCCGCCGCCCCCCCTCTTCGGTTCCGGTTCCGGTCTCGCTTCCGGTTCCGGTTGTTCCGGTTCCGGTTCCGGTCAGGCCCAAGCCCGAGTGTCCGGTACCGGCGGCGCCAGCGGGAGACTGAGGGGGGAAAGGAGGCGGAGCCAGCTGCGCATGCGCGGGCCCGCGCCGCACTTTCCATCCTTTTCTTTCACCCCCCAAAAAAAAAAACCCAAAAAAAAAAGAAAAAAACACCAAAAAACAAAGCTCAAAGTGGACGTTTTTCACCCCCCCTCCCCCCACCAAATTAATTAATTAAGTTATTAATTAATTCACCCGTTAATCGCCAACCGTGGCGAATCTGCCGAGCGCTAAGCGGAGGCGCTCCGCGCATGCGCGACAGCCTCCGCTGCGCTGGGTCCTAGCGCCCGACCTCTCCCCCCCCACACTTTACCCATGGCGCTAAAAAGGGGGGGTCATTAGCATGTATTTGCATATGGCGGGAAAAGGCACAGCCAGCACCACGCCCCGAAACCCCTCCCCCTTTTATTTTAACCGAATTCCCCCCCAAAAAAACACCCAAAAAGAGGAAATTTAGCGGCGGCATCGCCCCGGCCCTTCCCCCCCCCCCAAAAAATCGCCTTTCGGGGTGGGGAGGGGGCGGGGCTTGGATTGGCCCCGCCCACATCGGCATGGCGGCCAATGGGGAGTCGCGACGGCGAGGCCACGCCCCCATAGGGGAAGGGGCTATGTTAGAAGGGGGCGTGGTCATGGGGCGTGGCCATGGGGCGAAGGGGCGTGGTCATGGGCAAATGGGGGCGTGGTCATGGTAAGGGGGCGTGGCCATAGGGGAAAGTGGACGTGGTCATAGAGCAAAGGGGCGTGGCCACGAGCAAAAGAGGGCGTGGTCATGGGGCAAAGGGGGCGTGGTCACGGGGGGGGGGGAAGGAGGCGTGGTCATGCGCCGAAGGGGGCGTGGTCATGGGACAGAGGGGGCGTGGCCATTGGGCAAAGGGGCGTGGTCATGGGTCAATGGGGCGTGGCCATGGGGCAAGGGGGCGTGGTCACAGGACAAAGGAGACGTGGCCATAGGGGGGAAGGGGGCGTGGCCATGGAGGGGTGGACATGGGGCAAAGGGGGCGTGGTCGTTGGAAAAAGGGGGCGTGGATGTGGGGCAAAGGGGCGTGGCTGTGATACAAAGGGGGTGTGGCCATGGGGGGAAGGGGGCGTGGTCATTGGATAAAGGGGGCGTGGCCATGTGGCGAATGGGGCGTGGCCATGGGGAGGTACTGGCGAAAGGGGGCGTGGTCATGTGGCAAAGGGGGCGTGGCCTGGGGGATGGATATGGGGACATAGGGGGTGGATATGGGGCTATGGGGGCGGATATGGGGCGATGCGGGAGGGATATGGGGCTATAGGGGGTGGTTATGGGGCTATAGGGGTGGATATGGGGCTATGGGGGGTGGATATGGGGCTATAGGGGTGGATATGGGGCTATGGGGGGTGGATATGGGGCTATAGGGGTGGATATGGGGCTATGGAGGTGGATATAGGGCAATGGGGGGTGGATATGAGGCTATAGGGATGGATATGGGGCTATAGGGGGGCGTGGTCATGGTGCGAATGGGGCGTGGTCACAGTCAAAAGGGGGCGTGGTCATATGGTAAAGGGGCGTGGTCATGGGCCAAAGGGGCGTGGCTGTGGGGCAAAGGAGGCTTGGCCATGGGGCAAAAGGGGGCGTGGTCATGGAGCAAAGGGGGCGTGGCCTCACCCATTCATCCCCCCCCCCCATCAGTGCATGGGGGGGGTCAGGGGTGCCCCATATGTGCCCCCCAAGGGGGTTTTTGGGGGGTGCACCCATAGCCCCATAGCGCCCCCATAGCCCCCTATTGCCCCATAGACCCCTATTGCCCCATAGCCCCCCATAGTGCACCCATAGCCCCCCATAGTGCACCCATAGCCCCATATTGCCCCATAGCCCTCCATTGCCCCCATAGCCCCCTATTGCACCCAGAGCTCTCTATTGCCCCATAGCCCCCTATTGCCCCCATAGCCCCCATTGCCCCCCATTGACTCCATTGCCCCCATAGCCCCCTATTGCACCCATAGCCCTCTATTGCCCCCATAGCCCCATAGTGCCCCCATAGCCCCTATTGCCCCATAGCCCCCACTGCCCCCATAGACTCCATTGCCCCCATAGCCTGCTATTGCACCCATAGCCCTCTATTGCCCCATAGTGCACCCATAGCCCCCCATAGTGCACCCATAGCCCCCTATAGTGCACCCATAGACCCCTAGTGCACCCATAGCCCCCTATTGCCCCATAGCCCCCTATTTCCCCCATAGCCCCCTATTGCCCCCATAGCCCCCTATTGCCCCATAGCCCTCTATTGCCCCATAACCCCCCTCTTGCCCCATAGCCCCATATTGCACCCATACCCCCATAGTGCACCCATAGCTGCCTATAGTGCACCCATAGCCCCATAGTGCACCCATAGCCCCCTACATTGCACCCATAGCCCCCTATTGCCCCACAGCCCCCATTGCCCCCATAGCCCCCTACATTGCACCCATAGCCCCCTATTGCCCCATAGCCCCCTATTGCCCCCATAGCCCCCTATTGCCCCATAGCTCCCTATTTCCCCCATAGCTCTCTATTGCCCCCATAGCTCTCTATTGCCCCATAGCCCCCTATTGCCCCATAGCCCCCATTGCCCCCATAGACTCCATTGCCCCCATAGCCCCCTATTGCACCCATAGCCCTCTATTGCCCCATAGCCCTCTATTGCCCCCATAGCCCTCTATTGCCCCATAGCCCCATAGTGCATCTATAGCTGCCTATAGTGCACCCATAACCCCATAGTGCACCCATAGCCCCCTACAGTGCACCCATAGCCCCTATTGCCCCATAGCCCCCATAGACTCCATTGCCCCCATAGCCTGCTATTGCACCCATAGCCCTCTATTGGACCCATAGCACCCTATTGCCCCATAGTGCACCCATACCCCCCATAGTGCACCCATAGCCCCCCATAGTGCACCCATAGCCCCATAGTGCACTCATAGCCCCCTATTGCCCCCATAGCCATTGCCCCATAGCCCCCTATTGCCCCATAGCTCCCTATTTCCCCCATAGCTCTCTATT